TCCCCCTTTTCAACGATTGTTCAAATTCGATTCTCGATCTTCCTCTTCATTCTCCTTCCCGATGCGATTATTTAAAAATTTTCAAAAGATGGAAAAACTTGAAAGGTGCTGGTGTTAACGACGCGTTAAAAAAAAAAAAAAAAGAAAAAAGAGAAGAAAGAAATTCGTACTTCCTGGATGGATAAACTCAGAGCAAGGTGGAATAATACACACCGTTTTTCTGTTTGGTGCGCCAAACTCATTTGCTATTTAATTAATGCTTACAGGTCGGCCAGCCACGGACGCGTGGTTTATATTAATTACACCCCGGAAGATTCAATTAGCGCATTTCTCATTACACTTACTTATAGCCGTGTATCCATTATTCATGAGGAATCGGCGCGGTGAAGCCGCCTTGACAATGCATGTGATCGTTACACGGGTATTGTTGCAACTATTTTTTTTTTTCTTCCTGCCATGACATTCGATGAAAATGCAATCCGAACACACGCTCGGCCAGGTGAGATTGCTTCGTTAATGAAAATCCTCGTGTTCAAACGGGGGTTCATTGTTAGCGTTACCGGGAATTTTGCTTGTTACTACGACGTAAGTAATCGTTAACCCATTAAGCGTTTAAAATGTTTTATCCGTTCTGTACTATCCCCTCCTTACGCGAAATCTATTTTCTTATTGTTAAAATTCTGCTACTGGAAGTATAATTAGTGTACTAATCGAATTCCGTTCGAATATAACTTCAGCTTGTACCAATAAACATATGGATTATTTTCAATATTAGGAAATATTGAGAATACTTTTTCTAAGATTGAAATTTCTTATGTGTTTGAAAATTTTGTATTCTTCGTGATCGTGTATAGAGATAAAGCTTTGAGTTTTATTTTTAAATAGAAATAAGATTTTTATATATGAAAATCGAGAGAAGGTTATGTAATAATTATAATTTAATAATTTAAATAAATTAATAATTAATAAATTAATAAATAATAAATTAATAAATTAATAATTTTTTTTTGTTATTAAGATAGAATAGGGAAGGAGAATTTTTAAAAATTTCGAGTTTGGGAAATATTTCTATTATTTTTTTTTTTTTTTTTTTTTATCGTTTAAAATCTCTCGCGAAATTTATTTTAATTCATATATTGGTATTAATATAAGTGTATGGCTTTCTTCAAAAGATATACTGTATTCGAGATAAGACAAGTTGGAAACTATGGGTATTGTTACATATATTCATAAGCCAATTTTTATATAATATATTCTTTACTTCGTAATGATAGATATATATGTATATACATAGATTTATTACTACATTATTTAATATTGTGTTAGTTAACGTTAGTTCGTTATCTATTTTAAATTATTTTAATAAGGAAATCCTTTGCTACGTTTTATGTCTCTTTGTATGATTTATTATTCCTTATAATAAAGTCGTTAAATTATTAATTTACGAGATTAATTGAAGTAAAGTTATACGGTACTTGAAAATGAATCATATAGTATGCTGCAGTATCTCGTAACATACATTTCATCTCATTCATTTTATCTTCTATATTATTTTATCTGTAATAACTCTTAACATGAAATTTAATTAATTTATTTGAAATTGGTGAAATTATTAAATTGTTAAATTATCATCGAATTGAAATTCATTGAATTTATATCGGAATAAAATGTATATATCATAATTGCATAAGAGGATAAAGAAAAATCTTGTTTATTTTTTTCTTTTTTTTTTTTCATTTTGTTTTAATAATTTTTTTTTCATTTTGTTTTGTTTTAATAAAATTTGCTAATAAAATTGCAGATTGTATATAAGACGATAATGGAGGAAATATTAATGGAAATATTAATCTTCCATTAATGAACATTCATCGACAGAATATCGAGACATATATCAATTCCAAATTTTTTGATCTCTTTTTTTTGAAACATCAGATATTGTAACACATTCTTGCACACTCTACTTTCTAACTGGACATCTCTAATTACACCAATAACACGATATATATGAACACCACAAGCCACAACTCTAAACCAAATTATATTTTTAATACACGTTCCCAGCTAACTTGGATCGACTTTCCTCCAAAACTTTTTACAAAAACGATTAATCTCCTCCTTTAATCAAATTCAAAGAAGTTCCCCCAAACTTTAAACTCCCAGATATTTACACCAATCACGGAATAAATTTTTTTTCCAATTCCATGGCCCTCCTCTCGATGATAATCCAATAATTCGTTTTCTAGCAACGAATTTTTTCCCCACTTTTGCCAGGATACTTTAAAGAATATTCCAATTTCACCCATTTCGAGAGCATTGGCAAAAAAAAAAAAAAAAAAAAAAAATGNTTTTTTCTTTGTTCTTTTTTTTTTTTTTTTGAACTCGTCTGTTTTCTTTCGCTTTTTTCCCCTCTCTCTTTTTTGAAACTATGCACACTATGCGCGGAATTTCTTTTCTCTTTTTTTTTTTTTTTTCACGCGAAAAATCCGTCCAAACGAGATGGATGGGGAAGAAAAAGGAGAAGGGAGGGAGAAGAGGGGCATAAAAATGAGCGACTTGCACCGGTAAAACTTTAACACGTAATCCGTGCGACGCTCTTCCCCGGAATGGCTTAAAACTGTCTTCGATTCGACGCCTTGGAGAGGGCGACGCGATTGTTGGAGTAGGTCGAGGGGTGCTTGACAAATCCCCTTCGACCGGCTCTCGATATTTCGCTCTCGAGCGAACGTTTTGTAGAAAAATCAACTGCGCCGCGAGTGCGAACGTTGCTTCGTACTTTGCAAGAATTTAAATAAGATCGAAGGGAGGAAGAAGAGGGGGAGAGGGGGGCGGGGGGCAAGGGGCAAGAATCGAAGACAGATAGAACGTAAGGTGATTTCGAATCGACGTGGCTCAATCAAACGGTTTAAATCGGAGGATCCTCTTCTTCTTGGCTTGGAGTGTCTCTGTGTACAGTGGAGGAGTACGTTTATGCGAAGCGGATAAGTAGATTTCGTATAACTGAATTCTGTTCTTTTAATCCGTAAAAACACGATTTAATACGAAAATTTCATTCGAAGTTTCTTCTTCTTTTTTTTTTTTTTTTCTCTCTTTTTCTTTCTTTTAATTAATATAAAATCGTCAATTGTTTTTTCGTTATTTTATAATATAATTCGACGCATCATCTCTACGAATAATTTTTAATAAATTTTTAATTCTTTGATTCTTTATTTTACATCAATATTAAGGGATTAATTGAACTTATTATTTAAAATATTATTTTTAGAAGAATTACTATTGAAATTATTTTGTAAGAATGAAAGTATGTTTTTCATACGCACGAATGAAAAAAAAAAAAAAAAAATGAATAAAATTTCACGAAATTACGGGAGAGAATGCGTTCGATTCGGAGTGTCAACAATATTTTAGGGAGCACAAGGATGTTTGCAGGTATTAGCCGGGGCTCAAAAAGTTGCGGATTTTTCGACCCGAACAAAATCGATATAGGGGGAGGGGGCATGATATTGCGATTCTATCGGCAAACAAGGATTACGATATATACCTGGACGTATAATCCGCGAAATAGACGATTAATAACAATCGAATATACGTTCGAAAAATGAAATACGAATCAGGAAATTCTATCGAATTCGTGAAATAGTTAAAAATGCAAAAATACATTTTGCCAAATATTTTTTGATACATAAAATTATTCGTTGCCTATTCCAATTCCATTTTTCCCTTCAAACTCATCATCATTATCCTTATTATTATTATAAATATTCTATTTTTAATTGTTACAATCAAAAACAAATTTGATAAATTTTCTCTCCAGAATTTCCAGAATTGCCAAAAATTCCGTCAACAAAGGATCCTTCCAAGTTCATCTCCCCCCCTAATAACCGCCCCTGATAATAACGATAAATCCTCAATTTCAGAATTACCAAAGATAAATATCTTCTCCATCCCTAATTGCTGTTCGAAAAGCAAATTTCGAACGGATTAAAATTTATAACAACAGTCCCCCACAGCCCGAAACTGCCTATGGTTTCCCCTCTTCAACCCATCAGTTCGACGTTCCCCCCCTCCCTCCCGATAATCCAATTAACAAATAAGTGCTTTTCCTTCTTCTCGACCCATATCTCGAAGCGAATCGAGCATGCCTACCCCTTGTTACGATTAAGGAGCGCGGGACAAAGACAAGCTTCGCGGAAATTAAAGGTAAATGGAACACGCGCGCGCATATGTATATACACACATCGATAACACACGCACACGTCGAATGTGGTACGTTGCCACGTTGACCTGAATCTCCTCTTGCCCGACCTTCTCGACGCATACTTTCCTCGCGATCGACACACACACACACACACACACATATATATATATATACACACAGACAACCGTCCGTCCGAATATCGTATATCGAACCCGTTACGCCTTCAGAGAGGCGGCTCACGTGCCGCATAAAAGCGGCTCGATGACCGAACGACACACACGTCTATTTTATCCATCCACCGCAGGCATTTAATCATTCCGCGGTACGCTTCCACGCTTCGTGGAATTTCCTTATCCGTCAACGGGCATACATATATGCAGGGGACGGTGGATGCGTGGCACCGTTCAACGTCGACGAAACGGGAGAAAGACCGATTACCTTCATCCGTGTGTCTACAGGGTGTCCGCAGGAAATACGCGGATAATGATTTTAATATTCGAATCATTTATACGAGAAATTTATTCGCGAAAATTCATTGTTGTTAATATTCTTTTTTTTCCCTAAAACTTGAGAATACTTGTGAAGGAATTAATAATTAATATCAAAAGATGTTAATAATCCTCTTATAAAAGAAAATTCGGACGATATATTTAGAAAAGAAATACGTATTTCAAATGTAAACAAATTCGAAAGAAGGTTTGGAAAAATATTTCAAACGAGTCACCCTGTACACTACGTTGACCCATGGGATCCGATCGGACGGTATCCACGCGCGAGAGTACGTACGATAACGATTCAATCTTACCTGGATTGCTGTCGGCGTTCGAGCTGAAGAGAACGCAGAGGCCCGTCTCGTAGTTCACCGCCTGGCAGGAATCGTTCGCTTGACAGGTCTCCAAGCAATCGGTGAGCATCAGGGTTCCCGGTATGGACTCGAGCATGTTCGTGGGCGCGGTGAACACGTAGCCGGTCACCAGCTCGAACCCGACCATTTCTGGGTCGCACTCGTCGGAACCGGCCGATGGCCCGGTGTAATCTGGCCCAGAAAGCCCCGATGGGACCGCAGATGGGGCCGGTTGGTCAGCCGCGTGCGTGGAATCTGCGGCTGCCACGCGACCGAACCTCGCGATAGCCTGCAGCAGCAGCAATGCCGTGATGAGTCTTGTCATCGTGCCGCTCCACCTGTTACTCGATCTTCAACTGTAAAGAAAAAGAAAGGAGCAATGGTTATTTTGTCGAGCGGATTCTTTTACGTGGAAATTTTTTCTCTCTTTCTTTTTTAAGATTTAATTTTCGAAATAATACTCGAAGCTTCGAATTGTGGCCAGTCGATTTTTAATTGATTGAGGGGGGGATATAATTGATTAATTGAGGGGGGGAGGGGGATATAATTCAGGGTTATTTTAATTCAGGTTATTTTAATAAGGATATTGGAAATTTGTGAATTTATATAACGTGGATCGATGAAAGGTATTCAGAATAAATAAGTTTCTTAAAGAAATTCGTGTTGAGAGTTGAATGAGAGTGAAGATATATTTTTTTTACGCGTATAAATTATTTGAGGGGGGAGGAAGATTTTACATGTTGTTTTACAATTCGAGTTATTACTTGGAATTTATTTTTACTTCAATTAGAAATTCAAATATTTCCCGATACAGATCTGAATATTATTTATTATCAGGATCTATAATAAGTGAGATCGATTTGTCCCGACACTCGTGTCCGTTTTTCAACCCGTTCAACCTGTTCCCTGAATCATCCTTGCAACGTGGCAGATCGTATAACGTAAAATTAACGATTATTCTTTTTTCGCTGTTATACAATTTATTTGCATACTAGCCGGGTTATAAATAGATATATACAGCAAACATTATGGTTCGAAGACGGGAAGTTGTTGGAGACTTTTGATTCTTGGCCAAGTGCCGTTAATCATTAGGTACTTGGTTACGTGAAAGTGATCATTTCTGTAACATTTCTGAATTACAATCTTCTCGTTACACTTGTTTCCTTCGAACAACTTATTTTTCACACTTACTTTTCCTTCTTTCCCATTTCCGATTCGACACTTCATCGTGTTATATCATTTTAACAAATCGAACTCGAGAAATGATTAGCACGAATCAAATATCCGAAATTTTAACGTATTTCAAGATGTAATAAGAGAGACACGTTTCACAGTTTAATCAACCTATTCTACTCTCTCTGTTCAATTTTGATCCTCGTAACCATTGAAAATCGATCGAGCGAAATTCTTCCTTCCGCGAATATTTCCATCTCTAGTGCCCACATTCCCTTCCCTGTAAAAACACGTAGTTCCATCGTTTCGAAAAAAAAAAAAAAAAAGAAAGAAAAAAGGGGAGAAAACTCGCGAATAACATCGTATTCTCGCATACCTCTCGATTCCCATCGCGCGAAACTAAACAATTCCAACGTCTACCTTTTACGCGTGCGTCCACGCGAAAATTGGCGGGTTTGCAATTCAACGCGAAACCGAGAAAGAAAAGAAACGACAAATCGAGCACAATTTTCAAAAAAACACTCGTCGAACGAATCGCCAAGAAAATGGTTCAAATTCTTCTTCCCTTCACCTACCTGTCAAAATTATGTTAAATAAAAACTCGAGAAAGTTTTTGTAGCTCTCTCTCTCTCTCTCTCTCTCTCCACCCACAGGACAGTGAATTATATTCCACCGAATATATCTATCGAATCGTGTCGAATATCTCACTCCTCGCGACTCCTCCGTACAGAGAAGTGGAGAACACCGAACGGAGAAGTGGAAATAATACCGGATTGCCGCGCGCACAATAACGTGAACGCGAACGAAGCGAGATGTGCGCACAAACTCGAGGACGAGGATATATAGATTTCACAGAGAGTTCGATGAGCCCGCGCCGCGTTACCACGTCGCCGGGATTAAACGACGATTTGCAATGATAATACGGATGGAATACCTCGCGAGTACCCGCGCTGCAGGGTATAACGACGTCGACCGGCTGGCTCTTAGGCACTGGGTACACCTGGCCGAGCCGCGGCGCACGACTCTTCCTCGAGCTCACCTGAGAAGGGGGAGGGGGCAGTGGGACCGCTGCCGACTAAGGAGGACAGAACGGTACGCACAATTCGATCGCGGCTTCGACACCATTGAAAACAAGCCAACCTCTCCTCTCCTCTCCTCTCCTCTCCTCTCCTCTCCCCCCCTCCCTCCTCCTCCTTCTCCCTTTCCATTGCCACCGTGTCCATTGCCTCCACCCGAATTCTTCCCTTCCCCCCTCCCCCCTCCCTCTCTTCCTACTTCCTCGTATTCCTCTATCTGGTGCACACGCTGCCCCCCTCCCCCTCCTCGCGTACCCTCTCCCCTCCCCTCCCCTCCCCTCCCCTCCCCTCCCCGGTCGACGACGTACCCGATAGACCTCGATTTCGTTCACGTACGTGTTTTCACGGGCGAATTCGAACCCGGTGAAATTCTATTCTTGGCCGGTCGGGAGCAACGGTTTTCGGCCGCCCCTTTTTTTATTAGTGCTTTTATTAGTGGTCGTGAGAGAGAGAGAGAGAGAGAGAGAGAGAGAGAGAGACGAAACTTATCTTAATTCCTTATCACCTTCCCCGTGATAATTTCGATAGGAAATAATAATAATAATAATAATAATAATAATAATAAAAGAGAGGAGTGTACACAGGCGAATTCACTTCGTTCTATATAGCGAGCACGCACACGCCCCCTCCTCTCCCCGCCCCTCGAGGAAGGGATCGCGAATTGACGCTAATGAGCATTCGCGGATCCAGGTGGAGTTAACGCCGGGGGAGGGGTACGCTCGTGAGAACGTTACGATACACGACGTGACGTGCACACGCGTGTGTGTGTGTGTGGAGGAGGGGGGGAGGAGGGATTGTGAGTATGGAAAATTTATTGAAATTTCTGCGTCGTGTACGGTGCCCCCGGTCGTTACATTCTACGCATAGTTTCGCGATACATAATAATCCGTGTATATATATATGTATATATATTTCCCCCCGTGGAATAATTATAAGCGCGGTTGTTTTGTTTCCGCGGTGTCCATGCATCTTTTGTGAAATTATTGTTCGCGTATTGAATCGTATTAACCCTTGTTCATTGACCGTTATTATATTCCTGCGACGATGTATGTAAACGGGGATAAATTATTTATTTTTCTTACTTTATCTATACTTTTTAGAATAAGTAAGTAAGTTTAATAAGTAATAAGTAATAAGTAATAAGTAAGTAATAAGTAAGTAAGTTAGAATAAATATCCTCTGTCGTATTTGTTGAAAATAATACACGAATATTTACAATTAAACGAAATATCGTGGCAGTGAAAATCCAGCCAGAAAAGAGAAATAAGTATCGAGGCGCTAACGGGAAATATAATTAAGTAAGCCTGCTCTCGAGTTACGCCGAATTACGCGTGGACGAAGTTTCATTTCTTCGGCCGAAATGTATCCACGCGTAACGAGAAATATGTCCGGGGCCGTAATGTGATAAAGGTGGGCCCCCGTACGATAACCCAGATCGGGGATCGCGTGTTAAAATAAATGATAATTATCATCTCGGATGATAATGGAGGTGGGGTACACGCGCGGCGTGGCAGGATGGAGGAATGGCGGGGGGTGGGGGAAGGTGGGGAACAGGAAAAGCAAGGGGATCCCAAAGAGAGCAAAATCGGGTGCACGTGTGAACAGTGCGACCTGAGCGGGCGTCGGTGTCCCTCTACGAGCGTGTATATACCTGTGGCCGATTCACTGCTTAGACTCTGCCTCCTCGACGTGGAAGAAGCGAAACGAGCATTGGCCGCCGCCACCGCCGCCGCCGCCGCCGAGAAAGAAAGAAAGAAAGAAAGAAAGAAAGAAAGGGAAGGAAGAGAGCGAGAGGTGGGACGAGAGAGGAAGAGAGAGATAGGAGAGAGAGAGAGAGAGAGAGAGAGAGAGAGAGAGACGTGCAGTGTGGAGCTCGTACCAGGTGCCTATACCATCGCGTCACCATGCCGGAATAACGGTGCCTGGATGTCTCATCGGGTTCAATCGCAATCGGCGATCTTCCGCCGCGGAATTTCGCAAGGAAACGGCCGTTTTGTCGTCCTACTCGTCTTCCTCGATTTACGAGCGGCCGCCATTCGTCCGCCCTTGAGTACCGATCGACCCAATGGCCCCCTGCCCAGGTCGTTTCATGCGTGTCTTACCTTTATTTTCAAGTAAAAGCCAAAAGACGTTTAATTGTCTCGCTTTACGGATAATTCGTTTTACGATTCTCCGATCCGAATTTTTCTTTCTTCTTTCTTTCTCTCTTTCTCTCTCTCGTTTTAGGTGAAAGTGTTTCGTGGTTGTGGCGCGAGACAAATTTTGGAAATGAAATTTGAAATCGTTGATCGATTGGAAAACGATTACGAGTATTAATTGTATGTATAATAAAATATTGGTGTATACAGGAGCATTAAAAAGAAAAAGGTTAATATATTATATATTTGACGTATAATCGTAATGTATTCAAATATATTTTAAAGTTAAAAAAAAAAGTTAAAAAAAAAAAGGTTGATATATCATATATTTGACGTATAATCGTAATGTATCCAAATATATTTATCGTGTATATTTTATTATCGTGTAATTGGAGCGACTAGTCCGTTCGAGAAGTTGTTGGACTAGTCGAGCGAGAATATCATGCTATTACTAACTTAAATATTTGAATTATTAAAGTTTTTGAATATTATAGAAAGTGAATGGTATATAGAATTCTTGCCTCGAGTATTTATATAAACCGGTAATATTACGAGGCCTTTTTTTATTTTTCAGGAATCCGTGTGTAGATAGCCTCGTTTGGATTATTATATATTTATAGCTATAAAATTTTTTACGTTACACGGAATGTTGAAAAAACTTTAAACGGTAGTACAGTAAATTTTAATCCTATTAAGAAAGAATAATGTTAATTAATTATGAAGATAATTTTGATAGATAGATAATATAAATTTCTTTGAGAATAGCGAATAAAAGCGACATACATTTCCGCATTTATTTCTTATTACATTTAAGCTTTCTTCGATACAATCGAACGTTAACGAGGTAAATAAGATACCGTAATAATACTTAGCCATGTAAAGAGGTTACACGTGTACAAACCGATTGATATTCGCGCGACTCGCTAATACGATCGGAT